AAAATGTCCAAAACATGAAACTACTCCGATGCTGGAATGCAGTGTCAAAGTCTCTGGAAATCTGACAGGGATTTTTGTTTTGGACCTCATATCGAAAGGGAAGATGAACATTTAGGAACTGTTCAAGTAGTCACCCAGCACTGATGCCAGAAAGTGCTCTCAGCAGGCTGCACATGCTTCCAACAGTGACCACACACTCCAGGAACTCCTCAGAACATGTGATCAAGGGTGACACACGTGTTATGCCTGAAGCCAGAGGCTGCTGAATGGTCAGCGTGTTGATGGGAGTGGAAAGGAATTGGGTGACACATTGTAGAGTAGTTTGGGAAACTTCTGGTGGACCTTCAGCCCTACATTGAAGAGGCTGCCAGAAACAAAGCAGGAGGAAGTAGAGCATATAGAGGAGCAGGAGGCATATACTATGGAAGAAAATATCAGGGCAGATACTATCCAATACCTGTTATTATAGGTGCACAAACATCATTCCTGAGAAAGCCACTTGCAACCATCAGCAGTTCCATCAAGGGTGATAACATGTTTTGATGCTCTTACATGATATATTTTTGAAGGTAAGTTTACTAAGTTAGTTACCCCATTTTGCTACCTACTTACTAATTGCTTTAGTAACTAGAGAGTTACTAGGAAATTTAGGTTTGCATTTAACAGTCTATAACATGTATTCACATAACACACTTACCATATCTAATAAACATTAAACTTCAGAATGAGAAGATATTTTTAGATCCTTTGTGGAACCAAACACTGAATTTCAGTTTCAAAGATCTCAAAATCACACCAGAGCCACATTTCACCAAAGGAATTGCTGAGAGGAATTCTCTAGTAGAGAACTACACATGTGCAAGGATCTGTGCTAGATCCAAACTTGAAAGGAGGATACCTCAGCCTGCCATGCACCTGCAGTGTAAAACTGCCCTGCTAACCAGAGAGCACCAAGACATCCATCTCTGGGAGAACATCACTGCTCAAATGGAAGCTCTTACTTTGACTACAACAGGAGTTGGGACTCTGAAGTGTGAAAACATCATTGTACTAGGATTTAGCAGCAACAGGAACAGATAGTGCAATGCCTCTTTTGACTCCCGCTGCCTTCTCTTACATGTTCTCAGTTTCTAAGGGCAAAATGAGAAATGCTCAGAGGCAGTAAAGAGCTCTGAACTTGCTGTCTGTGATATACAGACCTAACTCCCCTGCTTCCAAGCAGTGGCTACAAGGAAAAGGGAGAAACAAGAAGGAACTGAAATACTTGACAAAAGGAAAAACACTTCACACAAGCTCAGCTCCTGAAGAGAACTACAGTGATACCATGCGAAATGATACTGCGTAATCTACACAACATATTTTCACACAGTTTGGCAGTTCTATGTTTAACAGTTCACATGGGAGCAAACCAAGACCTGGAGAAGCTAGGTCCCATCAACACCACTTTGAATTCCCTCTAGAGCGCTCTGATGGGCTTTCAGACTTTCAGGTCTCTAGTACTGCTGTTCATTCTCATGGCTTTATCCAATTTTGTATCACAATTGCATTTGCTAGTTTAGGATTTTCCTGGCAGTGCAGTTCTGCATCTCTCCTCCTGAGAGCAAAAAACTTTGTGAAGCAGTAGTAAAACAGGAGAAAGTTTTTGCACTCTATCATACCAAGAATGAAGTCTTCATTTTCTTACGCTACTTTGAAAATTGTAAACACATGGGAATCCAAGAGGTTTGAAAAGTCTCAAGATGACAAGATGCAAAAAAATAGTTATTAAAAGTAGATGAAGATATTCCAAGAACTGAAGTGAGGAGGCAAGGAAAAAAAAGTAAGTTCTCAAAATAAACTATTAAGCTTGGAATCACCATGGCATCACTTTAGAGGTGCCGAGGTTACTCTTGGAGCTGCTTCTTGCCCAAAAAGCTAAGCTGTCTGCCATCAATCTGCCTCTGGGGTAAATAGGATCCTGGCTACTATCCCAAATTCAAGCAGTACAAACAAACAAGAAAGAAGTCTATGTTAGATTTGTAAAGTGAAATAAGACCTTGCCTAGTTGGAGAGCTCTAGGGCAATGCTGAGCCCCTGAACTTGCAAGTGACACTTCTCCTCTCCCAAGAGACTGCATTTGCCTTTGAACTTTCAGCCATATAGAAAAAAGGCCGAGTTGAAATGTCAGCATCATCTTGGATTCAAATCAATCAGCTTGATGCATGATTGCAATAGCTAAACCACTTCACCTCTGCACTGCCCTCATCCATATGTTCTTTATATCAGCAGTCAGCAGACTGGGTGGCTCAGTGGATTCATTTCCTGTCCTAGGCTTGGGCTCCACTTTAAACAAAACAAAACCCCCTGAAACTGGAAAATAAAAATTAGCATTTCCTGACAGTTAAATTCACCAGATTTGTTGCATCAAGTCTCTTTCTCCATCCAAGAAAGTTGCAAGAAACCCTCTAGGAAGCACTGGTACAACTGGCGAGTTTCAGCTATGTACTCAACCAGCTGGTCACACTTCCACAAAACCAGTGAAGGAACTGGAGCCCTTTCAAATGCTGACACACCTTTGGGTGAGGGGAAAGCACTGAAGAGAAGAGCAGAGAGCCCCAAGCACTGCCAACTTAAAGAAACAGATTGGAAGCAGCCATCCCCACCTCAGTAAATTAATAGCCCACTGAGCAGCAAACTCTCCACCCACTTCTCCAGCTGGGCTTCCTCCAGATGATGTTGCTCTTTATCAGCTACAATGCAAGAGTTAAATTCCCAAGATAATTCAAATCTAAACAACGTGCAGCCTTCAGCATTCATGTAGGTGCCTGCCAGCTGGTGACAGTTAAGTGGTTACTTTCTCAAGCTAAACTTATTAGCTAAAGGTCAAGACACTCCAGAATAATGGAACTGCATTCAAAGCTTGCTCTACCAGAGCTCAGTGAGTCACTGTGGAAGGGGAGGTTTCTCATCGAAGGTGTGTTACAACAAGCCAGTCTCAGCAGGAGTATGTCATACTTTGGGGCTACACATCCAGGGTGGACTGTTTACTTTGCAAAAGAAAAGTTGACCTGCCTTTGGGAGCTAACAAGGAAGCCTGTACATAGCAAAAAGCTGCACTGCAGCCTTTGAATTACTTCAAGCTCTTTGACTTGGTTTCCCTGGTTTACCCTCCCACCATCTTCCCTCATGAAATGCTAATAGAAATAAATCTAGAAAGGGCAAAGAAGGCCTCATATAAGGACAGATAGTAAAAAAAAAAACCCTTCTCCACATCAGCTACAGTGGACACTGCTCCAGAACAACACAGAAATGGAACAAGTATCAACCCTGCTCAGTGGGGATTAAAGACAGAATCAACACATAGGATCTCTCAAGCCTCAAGATGCAAAACAAACCCACCATCGATCTGAAGAGACCCTGCAGCCATGCAAAACTGCTCTGTGTGCTTGAGCAATCCATTCTATCTCTTGGCTTAGTCTGTCCTACTCATGGAAATGCAGCCTTGTTATTCCAGAGCTCCCAGGGAACAGAAACTTTTGCCTTCAGTCTCTGGGAGCCATTCTGAAGTGAAAGCTCAAGAGCCACTGTAGTTGCCATTCTGCTGACACATAGAGAACAATAGTGACCATCAGAGAATTAGAGCACTTGCAATAGAGTGAAAAGGCAAGTTAAAAATAGCCCACGTCCAATCTGCCATCAATCATACCTACCTCACATCAGCTTCAAAAGCACCAGCTGCACATATGAGTGAGATGAAACAGTGAGGAGAAAGCTAACACCAAAAAAAGATGAAAGCGTTTTGAGGTTCTACCCTGTTAATTTACTGTGGCTCCAGAACTGCACTGGTTTGGTTTTGTTTCAGTTTACTTGTCTGTTTTCTTTCATCTGCTGTTTCCAGGAAGGACCCACACAGATGTAAGCATCTCACCCTCTCAGAGGAACCAGATTTGCAGAAGAGAGTGCAAAAAAGAAAGTACAAAAGGCTTTATAACAGATTGCCAAAAAAGACCTAAAACACTGTTTTCAGCCCTTTTTACTCACAATTCCAAGTAACACGAACATTAAGAATTAACATAAGGAGCAAGTAAATCCTCCAAGTTTAAAACTGATGCCTCTGGACAGTTTGAGGTGCTGTGTAGAGCACTGGTGTCGACACCGCTCCTAGAAATCAAGGGGCACAACCCTTCTGTACTAGAAGGAGGTCATTTTTTCGCTCCTCCTTTCAAGAACACAGGGCTGTTGGTACCGCCAGAGGTTTTAGGGAGGAAAAAAAAGGTAAGAATAATCTCACACATGAAAGTGAGGGCTGGCTACTGGCTTTCTGCTCACGCTCCACACACTGTATCCAAGGCCGAAAGAACAGTTTCACCTTGAAAACTGACTGCATAAAATTGTCACCTCGTTGCACAGAGCCGCTCCTGTGAGATCGCTGCTGACTTTCTCAAACAAGCTTATGTTGGCTTTTTATTTGCCCTGAAATCTGCTGAAACAGATCTGGCACTGCGGGAGAGAGCTGGATTCTCTCCTTTACACCAGCAGCACTAAGCTATAATTATTCTCACCTGTCTAAACCTACAGGCATGAACAGGCTGCACACACCAGCTCCTCGGGTCCCTGGTCAGATCCTCAGCCAGGCTGAGCTGCAGCTATTTGGGAAGTAACAGTCCTGCCACAGTCCATCCTCAGCATCCCCTGCAGTGGTAGGTAAGAAACCAAGGTGCTCACAGAAGCTTCTCTTCCTCAAACTCACTTCTTCTAGCAGCATGCTAAAATGCAAAGCTGTCTTCTGCAGACTGTAACTTAGAGTAGCTTTGCTACTTAAGGCTTTTCTTGAGCTTCTGGGAAGCTATTGTTTTCTCAGCAGCCTAAAGCAAGCTGCTGTCTGCAGCCACCATTCTTTGTGGCTGTAAGGAGACAGCTTCCTAGTTAGAGATTTTGCCCGACTCGTGTGATTAGCACCAAGATATTGCAGCACAAAGGAAACTACCAGAAGCAGCTACAAAAGTTGCTGGATAACTCACCCTCTTCACAGTTGCTCCCCGTGAAGCCAGGGCAGCACCTCCACTCCAGCGTGGTCACAGTTCGGTAGGACATTTTATACGTGGGCCTGATGAGAGTCCTGTAACTAACACAAACAAGAAGTCAGCAGGATGCACTTATGTACTCAAGGGTGGTGGTGTTAACTAATTCACAGCACATCTGCCTGCCTGCCCCAGAGCACCCAGCCACCCCGGCTGCAGAAAAAGGAGACACACGAAGCAACACAGCAATGGTTTACTACAGTATGGATCCGATTCAACAACCCTGATTTTTCTCCTTAAGCCCTCATAGTCTTCTGGCTCTTCCCCATACCTCTCCTGCAAATTATGCTTTCTGGAGGTCTCCTTGCTACCAAGTCATTGCAAGTAGTGGAGATGCTGACTCTGGTTTCCCTTACTCTGCCTGCATGTGGATGTGTCTGACCTTGAACAAAGGCTGCTTCATTAGCCTTTCCTCACTCAGCACTAACAGAGGATCCAAAACATTACTCACAAAAATATAAATCTCTTGTGTGTCTTCCCTTTTCTCACCCCCACCACTCAGATCCAGGGTGTTTTAACACAGCAGCATAACAAACATCATCACATCACAACACAACACTTGCTATACAAAACAGATGTGGACAGGCCAGAGAGGGCCCAGAGAAGAGCCACAGAGATGATCCAAAGACTGGGCAGCCATGTGAGGTCAGGCTGAGAGAACTGGGTTTGTTCAGCTGAGAGAAAAGAAGGCTGAGAAGAGTCCTTATCACCATGTTCCAGTATTTAAAGGGTGGCTACAAAGATGATGGAGACTCCTTTCTTACATGGAATCACATGCAAAAGATAACCAGTAATTGGTAGAAGTTACCCCAGGGGAGATTCCAATTGGGCACAAGAGGAAAATTTTTCACAATGAGAAACAATCAGCCAACTGGAATAACCTCCCCAGGGAAGTGGTGGATTCCCCAGTGTTGGATACTGTTAAGATCCAGCTGGACAGGGTTCTGGGACATCTAGTCTGGGTCATGCTCTAACAAAACCATGCCAAGTGCAAGGTCCTACACCTGGGTCAGAGCAATCCCAGACACAGCTACAGGTTGGGCAGAGAAGAGATTCAGAGCAGCCCTGTGGAGAAGGACTTGGGGGTGCTGGTCGATGAGAAAATGAACATGAGCCGGCTTCAGTGTGAGCTTGCAGCCCAGAAAGCAACCGTATCCTGGGCTGCATCAAAAGGAGTGTGACCAGCAGGTCAAAGGAGGTGATCCTGCCCCTCTATTCTGCTCTTGTGAGACCTCACCTGGAGTACTGTGTGCAGTTCTGGTGTCCTCAACATAAAAAGGACATGGAACTGTTGGAACAAGTCCAGAGGAGGCCACGGGAATGATCAGGGGAATGGAGCACCTCCCGTATGAAGATAGGCTGAGAAAGTTGGGGCTGCTCAGCCTGGAGAAGAGAAGGCTGCGTGGAGACCTCATAGCAGCCTTCCAGTATCTGAAGGGGGCCTGTAGGGATGCTGGAGATGGACTCTTCATTAGGGACTGTAGTGATGGGACAAGTGGTAATGGGTTAAAACTGAAAGAGGGGATGTTTAGATTGGATATAAGGAAGAAGTTCTTTCCTGTTAGGGTGGTGGGGCACTGGAATGGGTTGTCCAGGGAGGTTGTGAATGCTCCATCCCTGGCAGTGTTCAAGACCAGGTTGGACGAGGCCCTGGGTGATATGGTTTAGTGTGAGGTGTCCCTGCCCATGGCAAGGCGGTTGGAACTGGAGGATCTTAAGGTCCTTTCCAACCCTGACTATTCTATGATTCTAAAAAAGGTTGGACCAGATGATCCCTGAGGTCCTTGCCAACCTGGTATTCTATGATTCTATGAAGACTACATCAGTGATCGCCATGGAGCCTTTTTCCCAGCTAGCTGACCCATGCCTCAGGTCTCCCCATCTGAAACAGGGTTACACTCTTCCTCACCACAGCTGTGGTTCTGCAGGACATATTGGTTGGCTTCATGTCCAGCACACTGCACCCCAGAGTCCCAGTTAAAGCACAAGTACTGCCATGCCCCATTGGAAACTAAAGGGCTACCTACAGACACAGGCAGAGCTGTGGAACGCACCAGTGATTCTGAAGTCAAGATAAACCAGACAGCTGCATAAATGCCAGCTTTGCTTTTAAACCAGCAGCCCTTCAAAGCTGGCAGATCAGAGTTTTCCCAGTATATGGCCAGACAAGTCACTGCTGCTATTCATGAAGCTAAAAGCAAACACAGAAGTCATACACTACAAGCTCCCCTCAAAATTCCTCCCCTTGTTTAACAGCCAAAGGAATTTGGCATACACAGGGAGAGGCTGAAGCTTTGGGATTACAGTGTTGCAGGCTGCAGCTTTATGCTTTTTTCTCAAGGCCAGGCAGACACAATCCCCAGCACTGGGGTCTTCTCAGGGGAAGAGCCTCCTCCTGCAGTGTGAGACCCAGCAGAAGACAAAGCACAGCCTCTGCCTGCAGCACTGCCCCAGGCTCAGATGTACAAGGCCAAAAGGGAGGTAGAAGCAGGAATCTCATCCAAAGCCCCTCCTCCAAGGGGCAGCAGACACAGGTGTACATCCAGGAGAGCACTGCAGGGACATGGGTACAGATACTCTTAAGAGCAGTAACCAAGGCTTGCCAGGAGGGGCTGCCCATGTATGTCTTGGAAAGAAGGCAGCAGCTCAGTCTTTGGGAAATTAATTTCCCAATAAACTGTTGCTGATTGTTTCTTACGCCAGCTGCCAAACACAGAAGCCAACTTCTCCTATAGCCAACAGACAAGAGGGCTGCACAAGCTTCCTCCTGAGCACAGGGCTGCCTGCATTTGGAACGGCGTTGGCCAGCGATGGGAGAGCAATGCTGTCTCCTGAGAACATCACATCCTTGCCCTCTGAGCAGCCAAAAAGCACACCAATAACTGCTAACACCGACAACTGAAATCCAGGCACTTGTCTAATACAGACTGGACAGAGCCAGCTTGTCCCACTTAGTGTTTTGCACTTCTGCATCCAATGGTAGTCAGGAGTCTGCAGTCATGAGTGAGCTTGAGGACTCGGCACCACGTTGATGTAGGTACAGAGAGACCCAAGGCATGAAGACTTCCAGTACCTTGCTGCAGGTCTCCCAGAGGAGCTCTAGCAAAGCTCAGCAACCAAACCCGAGTCTCCCAACACCCAGTCCTGGCACTGGACTCAAGACATCTTTCCACACACAAGCCCTGAACCATCAGTCAGAAGTTCATGACTTTGTCACTAGCACCACAGCTGGACTTCACCTCAAGATGAAAGTCTCCAACCCAGTTACCAGTGTCCGGAGCCAGATAGTCTCCAACTACACCGTGATTTTAAAACCATGTTTCTGCCAACACCAAGATGTTAAAACTCTCTCAAACTTCATTATGAAGTGTGGAGAGTGGCTTGAGCCAGACTGGAATCTTGGCAGCAGTTCCGTGTCAGGGAAGTAGCTATAGTTTAATCCTCAAACAAGCGAGGACTTCTCAGGGCATGACAAACATGGGGCTCAGCTGTCACAGCCTACCACCCACCCTGAATTCCCTGGAAGAGTCCTGACATTTGCAGCTCTGTTGTTCAGCATCGTGCACTCAGGCATGTGAAGTGGTCCCAGCTTGCTGGCTCAAATCTGCCCTGAAGTTGCTCTGTTCTCCACAGCACCACTTTCCCTCACCCATGTGAGATGCACCAAGGTCTGTTGTTATGTGTATCATCACAGCATGCAGCTTCCCAACTGCTATTCCAGGAAGGAAGCAAAGAAAACTCCTTTAACAAAGCATCATCACTGCCTGATACCAGAAGTGTTGCAATTGGAGGAAAGGCAAAAAGAAAAAACCATGGGAAAAGGAGAGAAAAAGAGCATACCTGTTAAAGATCAGAAGAAGCCTTGGAATTAGTGTGTGTGGAAAACACAGCAGGCAGAAAAAAGGTTTGGCAGTGGAATAGGGAAGCTTCTCCCTTGGATGCTATCCAAGCCACAAGCAAATAGCAAAACCACAGTAAGAAAGGAGGTTAGGATGAGCTACAACCTGCACCTTTTTGGCTTCCCAGGCAGCCAAAGGATATGTTTGGCACATACAGTCCCCTACCAAGCTTCCAAGCACTTTGAAGAAGCAAACTACCAGGACCTGTCACTCTACCACAGGAGACAGACCTCATTCACCAACATGTGTACTGAGGCTCACAGCACGGTCCCAGGGAGTGTGGGAAGAACCCAGCAAACTCAGCCAGCACTACTGCTGTCACTGTATCAGAACAAACCCCTAGCTGTCCCTGGAGACTGCCTGATGGTGTCAGACAAGGCTACAGGAGCTCACCTGCCTGCAGTAATCATTTGGGAAACAGAGTCTCTTGCTTGTGTCTCTGTGTGACTGCCCAGGAATGGGTATGTGGGAGGGAGCATGAGATGATTGATTAACTGTTTTGGGGGTATGAAGTTAAAAATACTGGAGAAATCAGGACATGGCAGCCAACAAGTCTCACACCTCAGCACACAAGGATACATTCCCCCTGCTCTCAAGGAAGTGTCACTGAACAAAACAGCCAGATGTGGCACAAGGAAAGTGTCACATTCTTGGATCAGAGCCTCTCAAATCAGGTCAAAGAGAGGCGTGATCTCTGCCCTGACCCAAGCAGGACAGCCTGTCACACACAGGAAATAGCTTCCCCATTATGGATTTCCCTGCCCTTTGACACTTACAAAGATGACGTGAGAGGGAAGGTGTGAAACTCATTTCCACATCACAAGAGATGGTTTTGTTAGTGTGATTCATTCATTCAGCCGCTGCAGTTTGTGCCTGAGGAGACCTCAGCAACCTTCAGAGGCTTCTATTCTTTTCCATTCAAGTTCCAGGTTGAAAGTTTCAACTTCACTTACTGGTGGGTTTCAGGATAACAAGAGGAATGAACTTGCCTTTTGACTGGCAAAGAATCTGGAAACCAAGGAATCCAAGCTTGCTTTTACCTACTGTTCTTATGGCAACAAATTCATACATCAATGCAGTGGGTCCAACCCTGTACATGTAACTGTCATATTGCCTTTCAAACAGGGACAATCATTTTC